CTGTGTGTGTTCTCCTATGCGTGTCACCTCGGCTCGCGCCATACCAGCCCCGGCATGCAGGAATGTCTGGTGCTGTGCCAGCTGGAGACTCTCTTCAGGCAGCTTGAGTCTAAAGTCTAAATCAACCTGAGACTAACCAAGCTGGGCTAAGCAGCTACTGTTTGCTGTGCTTCACACACCAGGGCAAAGAGAGAGAGAGACAGAGAGACAGAGAGAGATACTCCTCCAACACCAGGCCCATTCTCTTGTACCCACACAAGCACTTGCAGCAAGTATATATAACTATAATACACACACAGTGAGCAAACACATACCACACATACATGGCCGTGAACCTTATCATGGCAATCAAAGTTGTATTTTTAACCACTTTGTCTTTTTTCTTTCACTTTTTAATCAGTTTTCTGGATGTGTAAATCACTAACTGTACAATTTATTAAATTTATTAAATTATTTTGAGATTATAAAACCTGAAATTTCACTACAGTTAGATTCGATTTAATTATTTTGGTGTGATTCAGAATTCTTTTTTGCATAATGCATACATTTTTTTTATGAATCAGACAAATTTTTGGAGGAACTATTTCTTTTCTGCATAATTTGAGCTGAGCAGCTGCTTTTTGCGTCTTGTGAAAATTCTGTGATTAAAGAATCTATAAAAATGTTCCAAAATTGCTTGGAATAAAATCCCTTACATTAACTTACATTTAAAGTTCAGAACGTTTTTGCCTGCTCCTATAAAGTTTCCATTTTGGAGAGTTGTTTTTCTGGTTTGTTGTGCATGACATAATCAGTTACACATATTTAAAATTAATTAATTCACATCTGAATAACACACTTTGTGTAAAGTCCTTCACTGTCCAACGTTACACTCATTGATAAATCGCTGCTGTAGGGAGAAAACCTCGTATATCCATTTTTGTCGTTTTTCAGTTTTTGACATGATTTGAAAATACCTGCTCCCCTTTACATTGTGTGTAAATTTCATGAAGAAAGGACCAACAGAAACGGCCCAAAATGACCTGGCAAAAAGTCTGGTTCCACTGACTTACATTAAAATAAAGTAGGTTTTTTCCTTCTCCTGTAAAGTTACCATTTTGGAGAAACGAAGTTTTCTTCGGACAAGAGCAAAATGCTATCTTTACAGCACGTTAAGACTAGAAGACTTGTGTGTATAAATGACAAACACAATGACAACTGAATTAAAAAAAGTCTTACAATAACAAACAACATCAAAAACAGCTCTTATGTCTTCAAGGGAATTTTTCACAAGCCTGTGTGTGCATCAGGTCACACTGAGCCATGTGAAAACTTTTAAGGTGATTCATTGCATATAGAAAAATCCTTGCTGAGAAACAAGTGTTTGGCCTGCGACTTCCAGCACTGTTTTATTAACTCATTTCATAGACTGCTGCTCATGTTGGTAACATATGCCATCCATCCGTTCAATCCACTATAATTACTACAGCCATATGACAGAGTCCACTTCTGCTTGAGCTCCAAAATAAGCCTGCTCTCACCGCTATTGGGAGAAATAAAGTAAAAGAAGTGGAACTGTCACGGAGACCGCCTTCGTAAACACCGCACTGGAACCCAGTCCTCTGGTCTTGACTGATGCTGAAGCCAAATGGCTAAGAACAACAAAGCTTTGCTTTAGCGTCTATTTTTGCTCCTCGGTTGAAAGCGAGTGGCTTTACGTGGTCTTATTTGTCCGGCTTTACTTGTCTTACATAAGTAACACATTTTCACTCCCAGATCAAGATTTGACTTTGACATTTGTTTTTAATTGTCCTAAAGCCTCTCCTTCAATCCTTGGCGGCGTGGTTCAGTGTATACTCGAATCGCACGGCGGTAATCCGCTCGCTGGATGGAATTAGTTGCCGTATGAATTTTTTTAACAAGAGGCTTAGACTAAGCGAATAAAGAGAAAGATGTGAGGGAGGGAGGGAAAAGAGGGAAAACCTTGGGTTTGAAGTTCCGATAAGCCCATAACACTGTAATCTAAACATCTGCTATCTTAAAACAAGTGACATTGTAATCCCAAAGGACAAAGACTCAATCTCGTTCGCTCTGTCTGGCTTCTGCGTATAAAATGTGAAAGGATAGAAGGGAGAAGGCAATTTAAAAGTGGCTTGGTTGGACAACGGGCAATTTCAGACCCGATTCTCCCTCTCTTCTCCTTTCCTCTCCTCTCCTCGCTCTCTCTTCTTTTTTTTTCTCCTCATAAAATCACAACGTTCAGAGTCAGTAGGGTATTGGGTTACATCTCTGTTGGATTTATTTGGATCTCAGTCAGTCTGGTTTACAGAATCTGCTGATGTGATCAGTTACATCATCGATAATGGCCCAAAAAGGAAAATACTCTCGAGCGCCAGGTCCCTTCAGAGCCAAAACAGTAGCGCTGTTCTAACGGAGAAGATTGGCTCTCTGTAAAACCAGAGCGTGAACACTGGGGTAAACTGATCCCTCCTTGCTGTTTTACCACTCACCTTTAACTGCTGCTCCACCAAGGCTGGAGAGCTTGTTTGGAGCACTAATTAACTCAAAGCTGTTGTGTATTATGGGCACTGGGCATTTTTTAAGAGCCGCCTCTAATGAAAACAGAGTGCCAGTGGACTGCATTAGCGAGCCTCCTCCTTCTCTTCCCCTAATCATCCTTCTCTTGTCTTCTCTCTCTTCCCGTGGTCTACGACCAGCTACTGCCACTGGAGATGGAAGTTAAAGTGGGTCTGGAGGGGAAGTGAACCATAATGACATGCAGAAAGAGGACAACTGAGCAAAACTGGATATGAGTTCTAAATCCAAATTTTCTTGGTAGCACCCGGTTGTACTGGTGGTTCGAGTTTGACATTCACAGCAACAGATGGTCTCCGTCTCTTTTGTTTTAATTGTGGACATGCAGCGTGGCCAGGGTGGAGGATTGGAGAGGGACTGCACAGCTGCCTGGGACAGCGCTGGACAGATTCTCAACCTAAGCGAGCTGCTCTGGAGGAAGAGAGGCAGAGGAAAGGGAAGAAACCAAAGAGGTTTCACTCCTGACAACAATACATGCCTTCTACTCTCACGATCTCTGACTCGGTATACAGGCAGGGAGTGTGTGAGGGCCCTTCCAGGAGCAGAGAGAAGAATACTTCAAATGCAGAGAGTGGTGAAGAGCAGCAGAAAGACAGTAGGGAGTGCAGGGCCATGCTCTGTCACCCCTTCAGCAGTAGAGGCCGGTGACGGAGAACCCTGTCTCCAGGGAAGTGCACTTGAAAGAGGTTTTACTGTCTTGCTTTAAATCCTGCTGTTGTGCTCCAGGCCATGTAAATCAAACAGGGGTTCGCTTCAACCCGACACGTCCGAGTAGGAAGTGGGTGGAGAACGGTGGGGAGGTGGGGGGAGACCTAAAGTACTGTATGGACCGTTCCAGAATTCTCCAAAGCCTCTCAAGGTTGGGGGAGGCAAGTTCTTCACCATGTGAGGGGGGGGATGCCTCTGGCTTTCATTTGAAGGGACTCAAGCCTTGAGCTTTGAAGTGCAAGTCAAACGCAAAGAGAGATATAACCCAAACTACCTTAACCAGTCTTGACCTCCATCTAGAAGCCCCGTCGCGGAGTGAAATAAAGTGAAGGATGTGAAATGTGAAGGATGAGTGTGTAAGCAGAGGGGACAAATAAGTGCAAGGACTGACTGGCAACATAGTGCTTAACGTGTTAGCATGGGTGGGAGAGCGGGAGGGATTTAGAAAGGGGTGGAGTGAAGAAATTGTGGGGTGGGGAAAGCAGTACCTGTCTCCACTGGGCAGAGAGAGAGAGAGAGAGAGAGAGAAGGAGGAAGAGGAGGAGAGCTTCTCCTGGCACGGTTAACACCCGGTGCCCTTGGCTTTCATGTGTACCGCGTGTGTGTGAAGACCTTGACCGCTGCCACCGACCAGCTTGTGCATGTCCAGCGCTCAGACTGGGTGGTCTGCTAACCTTGCTCAATGGAACACCACGTACCACACACAGCACAGCCCATCATGCACACACACACACACACACACGTTGGCACCCTCATTCTTCTTCTTCTCCTCCACCCCCTGCTGCTTCCCTTCTTTCTTCGCAAATATGTCATGTTTATTTATGCTGCCCTTGTTAACGTTCTCTTCTTTTGCTCCTCATGTGAATTCTCCAGCCCCACTTCAGATTTTATTCCCTACATTTTCCATAATTCGTTAACGGAAGAAAAAAAAGAGGAACAACCCACTTTGAGGCAAGAAAACACGCTCAAACATACACTTTATGTATTTTGAAACCAATCCAATTCAATCTTTTTTTTAAGGCCAGGGTAAACTTCGGATGAACCAACTCTGAAGTAGACCTTTAAAGTGAAATCTGCGAAAGATCACTCAAACTGACTTAATGTTCGCAGTAAATATTTGGGAAAGGTGTAATTTGTGTGTCAACATTAGGGTTTTTCTCAAACAGTCCACAGTCTTAGAGTTAACATTCAAGCATTGTCGGACTGATATGATTTTTCCACTAATGAACAATCGCCAGACCAGCAGGAGCAGCGGAGGTGTTGTCAGTAGTTCTTGCCACGTCACTGTACTGAGCCTAGTGTAATTGCAGAGGTGGCTTTTGTGGCCCCAAAACCTCTAAGCACTTCTCCAAAAAAAGCAAGAGTTAAAACACACAGCTAACTCACCTTCTCTCATTCTTTCTCTGTCATTTTATTCATTAATTAGCGCATGCTAATTATTCTCCATTTATAGCCACTCCCCTTGTCAGTGGCTAACTACAGAGTAACCTGAATGATGACTGCAATGGGGAAAAGAGCGAGAAACAGAGAGAACGAGACTTGACGCAACTTAAGTCAATCGAAGGGTGGAGGAAGTCAAAAAGACAGCCATCAGAGGTTTAAGTGAGCAAAACATCCATCTCTTCCCTTTGAAACATTTGGCTATAGATGACAATAATAATAATAATAATAATATGCACTCATGAACATATATAGAGTCAAGGAGCTGGAGCACTGACCTGAATCTGCTGTTGAAGGAGATTGATTTTGTGCTGCTGCTGAAGTAGTTGCTGCTGCTGCCTGGCGATCTGGGAAAGGGGACAGAGGCATTTTTGGATTATTGATCCTTTGAAGCAAAGTTCAGAATATTTGGCTTGGATGCTTTGATATCTTTGAGGCTCAAACAGGTGAGTAGAATTGAATGGAGAACAAGCATGATCATCCCTTACTTTAAGGGGCTATAATGTCTGACAGTGAATCCTTTCCTTACCAAACCTAGTCCTGATAAGGACGCCACAGACGGTGCAGAGAACAGGCACAAATTACCTAGCTATGGTGGGCTGGCAGAGAGTTTGAATGGTGTGTTTATGCAACAGGGGAGGGGCCTCTAGTGTACCCACTCCCCAAGGGATCATCCCCTCTCTCTCCCTTTCTCTCCCTTCCTCTGTCTCTCCCCCTCTAAATTCCCCGTGAGCCTCTGCGCCTCAGTGAGCCTGACAGCCTAGTTTTAAGTGTCATTTAATTTTCATTTTCAAATATAATTACAAAGTGTTCACTGTAAGATATCACTCGTCTGCAAATGTGTCAGGATTAATTTGTGCCGGCTCCTTCACGAGTGTCAACAGTTAATTACTGTGTCGTGTCTGAATGGCTAAATGACATTCTAACTTCAGGCGGGTAGCCTCCTCCCTCCCTCAACCCCCACCCCCCCCCACCCCACCCCTTCTCTCCCTACTCGCCTCCCATCCCCACACCCCACCCCCATTTTCTTCGCCATTAAAAAGGAAACATCCTCTTATACATCCTCAGCTAACATAACAGTAAATATAATCCTAATATAGGGAAATCATATAAGTATACAATCGGTTCCTATAAACCTTCGGTACAAGCTGAGCTTTAAGACATTAACAGAGAGCGTTCATATCTAAAAATGAGACCAACCATCCAAGATGCATGCAGATGATTTGACATTAAGACATGCCTATTAATCTACATAATGTATTGAACAGCATTCTGTGGGTTAATAATAATAATAACTATTAAAAAAAAAAAAATGGATGAACCCTTCCCTTGATGCTCCCTGTCATTAAAGCAGTTCATGAGCTGTGTTAATCTGCTGATTTCTCCAATATGCCTCATTTGCCTGATTTGTGCCTCTGATTTCATGCTAAGATTGATCTAATAGGGATGCTTTACAGCTTCCACATTTTATAAAACATACAGCATAAATTATACATTCTTCTCCATCACCCAGCTCTTTTTCCTGGTTCAGCTGAAGTGAGGTGAAGGCCACACAGAAGGTCATATATAGGTTGTATTATGACAGAATAATACTATTTTAACTTGAGCTCCTCATTCTGAAAGGGAGGTAATTAAATTTTTTTACTCTGAATATTCTGAAGTGACTCTTCCGTTGAATGAGTCCAGGTTGCAGTAAATTGGTGAGGCACTGCAAATAACATTGTGAAAAGATATGGAATTAAAGGACAGAAAAAGCTAAAGAGGCACAGAATGCATACAGCACAGAACGTACAGAGTGGGGGTTAGTAAGCTCTGAGAAAGAAAGACGGCTCACTTGTTCCTGCTGCTGCCGAGCCAGCTCCATTTGCTGCCGCTGTTTCTCCATCTGCGAGGCTGCCAGTTTCTTCTGCTCGTCGTGGGCAGCCAGCAGCTGCTCTCTCAGGCTGATCAGCTGGGTGATCATGGTGGAAAGCTGCCTCTCCTTCTCAGCCAGACTCTCCGGAGTACCTGCGGTTGACAACAAGAGAACACTACCGATCAGTCTCACGTTGTCATTCACTCATCAGACTCATCTATGTCCACTGGCTCAAAGTCATGCAAACACTATCATATGGATGTAAAACTAGAAGAGACTGGCCAGTCCTCAAATCAGTGGCCTTGACCTCATATAGTCACTCAGAAACGAAAGGCAGATGGAGTCTGGAGGACATTTATAACTCAAGTTCCTTCAGAATATCACGCTCTTAGAAACAAGCCAGCAAACAAAGCGCTGGAAAACAAGCCTCGTCAAATGATCCGTGTGGCTGTGGCTTCCTGAAGCTATAAAAAGCATCTTAAAGGACTTGTGCTCCAGCCACCTCCTCAAGAAGCTCCTGGGAACAGCGTGTTAACGGCAGGAGAAGACCAAAGAGCCAGTGAATGCTGACCACTCCAAGCTCTCCAACTGGAGAGAATGGATGAAACTCTAGCTCCCTTGGAGCTGGGGAGGGGATTACAGAAGCTGAGCCTTGCGGAAAGAGTGGAAAGGCTTCATTAAGGTGCCAGCTTCTTGGCGACAGCAATGGAGGAAAGGAATTGTTCCTGTTAGACAAGGGGTGATGGTGCAAGACGGGTGAAGGTGGCAGATTAGTGACAGACAATGTGAGGCAAGTGTGTGTGTGTGTGTGTTTGGGGAAAGGTGCTGCCAGGGCAATATAATGACTGCTCTCAATTCTCATTAAGGGCGTTGCAGACACAAACACCTCTGTTGGGTTGAACCTCCACCTAACAGGGTCACCGTCACCTCTGCATTATCTCATTATCTCTATCACTCTCACTCGAACACCAAACAGAGTCATTACTAAGTATACAATCATAGGAAACAATAACAGTGTCAGGTATACACGCACACGTGTTTGTGCTGCGAGTGCGTATGAGTGCAGAAGCTTTTTCCCCAGTGCCTCTCTCTCTCTCTGCATCTGAAAGCTGAGGCAGATTCGCTGTACCTCTAGCTAATCAATGCTAAGTGATCCATTCATTGACTTACACAGGGGCCATAATTGCCCGTGAGAGGCTGGACAGTAACTCACTTTCTACTGGGGAGCTCTTTCTCTCTCTCTCTCTCTCTAGTGCACTTTTTCTCTTCTGGGTGACATGCTGCTGTTTGCGCACATTCAGGGGGAAACAGAAAGATAAAGAACGATACGAGAGAGAGGGAGATGGCGGGGGTTATGGTACAGTACAGTACAGTACAGCTGGCTCGTGGCCAAGCCAGTGTTAAATTCTTTCCTGGGTGTCTTCCGGTATTCTGCTGGCCACATCTGTCTTGAGTTTCTCCGGGGGGCTCCCTGGGGCCCGCTCCAGTTCAACTATTTTAATTTGACTAAACACCTGATTTATTTTATCTCTCCGATGAGGACGGCCGTTTGTCTTAATAGGGCCTGTCAACCTCCAACCCCCATTCAGAGCAGTTCACTGGCAAGGACTCGAGCCGGCGCTGCAATGAAGGAGACAGAGAAGAAGCAATTCTCCATTTATCCTTGCTCCAGAAAAAAAGTCCCCTAAAAAGCGCCCATTCACGGAGGCTGCATGTGGTTTCAACGGGACTGAACTGACTTCTTATTCAGCGCACTACACTTGTCATGAATAGCTTATCTGTAAAATTGATACATTCGGCCACCGATTTTATTAATCTCTGGCTCGAGCTGTGAAGGGCCACATTTAGCGGTGCGCCACTGTCAGGGAAGGCTACTGACCCCTTCTACCCCCCACCCCAAACACAGACGCGTGTGCCTCGGCGGCTGTGTCCACAGAGAACAGACAGGGAAATGGAGTGAGAGAGCGGTTCCATGTCAGAGAGCACGACCCTACACCTCTACGCCTCTCCTCTAACCCCACTTCCTCCACCTCTGCAGTTTCTCAAAGGCTCTGCATGGCGCTGGTTGGTTGTGGAGGGGGCAAACATCTGGACTCAGTACTGACCACTCAGGAGTCCTCTTCACTCAGCTCTCACTCAATCAAGCCCCCTCGTCAGTGCTCTCTGCCTATGGCTACACATTGCGCATGAATTCTGAGTCCTCACTAAATCCAGCTTCAGAAAAATGAAAAGACATAGTTGTCCTTTGCACTAGACATTCCTTAAAAAGCATCTGTTTGTGGCCCCACATTTCAATTCCTCACCCTTATAACTTCAAATCTTAACTAAATACATAACATAACTACATATCAGTTTCGAAGTAGTTACTGAAAATGATATATTGAACCTAAATTAAATATCACACTAAGGCGATTATTGCCAACAATAAGTAAACAAAAACATACAACTGCAATGTATTTTATTTATATAACAAAATATATTTATCCATTTGAATTAAGTAAATTCAGTTGTTTCAGAATAATATAACTGAATAAGTCTGCAGTTTAAGGGCTCAAATGTCCCTTTTATCTGTGATCATCTTTGATTTGAGATCGGTTTTGCATGACTGACCCCTTTATGAAAATATATACTCACCCGGGGGTGTGTACTTGCATGTATGGATAAGTGCACACGTGTGTTACAGTGAGCGTGTATTGTTCAGTGGCTAGAGTGAGAGAGAAAGAGAGAGAGAGGTGGGCTCGTAAGGGTCCGGCACAGGGGCCATGTGTGGGGAGTGCTGCTTTGCCCAAACACTAGGAGCATACTAACAGAGCCTCCATTGTTTCTCTCTCTGGCTCAATTGTACAGAGCTGAGGCTGCCCCCCGTCCTTGCTCCTGCACTACCAAAATGGCAACTGTCAACTGCCCCCCCCACCCCACCCCCAGTCTCTGCATTCTGCTCTCCTCGAGTTTCTATTCGCTCCAATCTCCATTCTCATACTTTTGGGCCGGTGACGTTACTAAAAGTCCTTGTTTTTGGAAGCCACTCCCCCGAGAAGAGAACACAAACCAGAGCACATGCATACAGATATAAACTGAAACACAAATACGTTGGAAGTGGCCATGGAGCAAATCTGAGCTACAGAGCAAATCCCCAGTATAAACGAACAGGCTGCACTTGGAGCCTTCCCTTTAATAATTTAGCGTGGCACACCATATGTTTTTTGTTGCCTCGCATTCGAGTGTTAAGAATCCTTTTCTTCCTGCGCTGAATTATGGATTACTTTTAAAATGCCAATAAAAGTTTTATTGGACAGGACAGCATGGGGAGGACGTGGTCTGGGTCAGCCTGTGGACTGCTGACAAAGAGGCTGGCAGTGCATATTGCATGGCTCTTAACAGCAGTGGGTCTGGACTTTCTTGTAAAGGTGTCTCCTCCTATCATCATTGCTGAAGGAGACAGTCTGGTCAGGATGCCTCCTTGGTTAAATACAGTGTGTCGGCAGGACTCGAGTAATGACTTGTGGCAGGTTAAGGGGCACTCGGGTTGACTAACATGCACATGCCCGGGAGGGTGCGAGCACAGAGGAGACAACAAAGTATGCAAGAGAGAGAGATGAACTCCTGTTTAGTTCATTCTAGAAAAGAAGCCTGTACTATATTAAATTTGGAGGAGACTTGCAGCCAAAGTGCATTTTATTATTGATACTGTCTTAGCCAATAATCAATTCATTCTGTCTGACATTCCTTTTTGAATGGTCTCCTAAGTGTTTGCCATCTGATTTTTTTAGAATTAAGACAGAACATAGCACTGTTATGCACCTACATAGCTAATGTTAGTACTATCAACAACTGATTAAGGCCACTATAACTACACTGTAAAAAAATGGCAAAATGTCTGCTAACAGTGGTGCTGTTAAATTACAGTCAAAGTATGTTTTCTCATTGAAGGTAAAAATCTGTAAAATTACAGATACTAGTTACTGTAGTTACTCTGCCATACAGTAGTTCCATTAACTATAACAGCAACCATTAAAATAAATGCAAATATCTGTGAAATAAAGGTGATGTTTAGTTTTTGTGAATTTATACTGTTTCTGTAAACAACAGCAGTGTTACAATACGGTGTTTGTTTATTTACATATATTTCATATTTTTAAAAAAATGGTATTGACCATTAAACTGTCCAGTACTAGGATAACCTAGTGATTGTCTCCGAGCTAATGGTAAAGCTTCAGCCTTATGTCCCTCAAGCACACCATATGCACAGGGGTATGTTAAATTGTTATGGTTTCTAAGATTGAACTTGTCTCTTATTGCTAAATATATAAAAAATAATGCTAAATGTTGATGTTAAATGCTAAAGTTAAATATTTGTTAATTTTGCAAATGTTAATTGACAAAAATAAATGCATTAATAGATTTACATTTTTGATCAGATTCCAGGGGCATGATGAAAAAAAAAAATCCCACATGAATATACATGCAGACCAATACTGTAGAACTATTGTTCACACGCTAGGAGTTCTGAGAAAAAGACCCAACGTGCCTGATTGGGACGGTCACCTTATTCTGCATCCTAGCCTTCTTCCCAAACCAAGAGCAGAAGACGTCTCTACACGATGAATGACGGAGGCCCAAAACAACAGGGACCACAGTGAGTGAGTGAGTGAAAGGGGGGGCTGTCGAAAAGAGGGCCCAGAGGATAAAAGACACTTTGTAGGGGTGCGATTTGTTCTGTCCAACAACTATTCTCCCAACCCCGGCAACCCCACACCCCTCCCGCACCCTTCTAATCAAGCAGCCCCTAATTTGAGTTCCAAGTCCTGCAGCAGGAAAAGAGAAGGCAGCTTGTAACTTTGAAGGGTCCCAAGTGAATGAGACAGATAAAAGCTTCAGGCACACACAAGAAAGAAAGAATGAGGAGAGAGAAGAAAAAAAAAAGAGAGAGAGAAAAGGGGCGAAAAAGGAAAAGAATCACAAGGCTCCCTATTCTCTTCCCAGCCTTTGGTTAGGACAGCTGAGCCATTATGACTAAATGTGAATGACTTTTTTTCCCCTTAAACGTCCCAACACTGGAATTTCTTTGTCTCTCCATCAGTCGGCTATTGTGGATGCTCCCATATGCTGCGAGCCCGTCCTAAGTAAATTAGGAGGCCTGTAAAAGCGGCAA